AATGGGTCCCTGAAAGATAGCATGGATCTCAAGCTTATGAACACAAGGACGAAGGAGAAGAATATGTGGGTTGTGTTTTTTCCTCTTAATAGATCAGTAGACTTGATGATCTTTGCAAGTCCCTTCCAATCAAACAATTCTAAATAATTTGTTAAGCTGAAACATGAGAGATTCTCATGATATATTAGGATCATTTCTCCTTTATTTTTCAGCAAGGGTGTGACCAAATAGTGTAAGAGGAGCTCAGAGAGGTTTTTACAGTCTCTGTCCTTGGAGATAATCAAAAGTAATTAGGTGAGGCACTAAAAGCCTGCTCTAATTGGGCTGGTTTTGGGCAGGGGTCTGATTAGGTGACCTCTGGTGATTCTATGAAGTTTACTCAAAGTAGAACCAAGTTTTTGTGGCAAGGAAAACAAAGAGACTTTGATGCATGTTTCACAAGTTGTGGGCGAGACTTCAGCTAGTACTTAGCTTTTGCACTATGCTGTTTGTATTGTATGTATATAACATACATAGGAATATGATTCCTTGAATGTACCTGCACAAGGGGACAGGCATCGCATAGGTCATTCTACCAATTATGTTATGCATGTGAGCTTTGCATTTTTGGACCAAAGCCTGACTCCATCACTCATATACACCTGGTTCACTGTAACACTACCAAACGCAGGCTTTGCCCTGCCACCCTTTGAGTACTGGTTTCTCAGCGGTAACTATGCTATCATTCTCTCTATAAAGAGCTATGCATATTTGTTACATTCCTTGGTGTTGCTCAGTTGTGATGTTTCAGCAGCGATTGATAGTGGGCTCTGGCATCTCATCCTGCCTGTTGACTAGGAGCAATGTGCACACTAGGCAGCCATTAACTCTTCCTCCCAAGTCAGAAGGACATCTGTAGTGGTCTGAGAGAGCTTCTCCATAAGACTTGAACGCAGCAACATAACCACCAACTCATGTGGTCGTTCAGGATGTGGTAGTGATGGAAAGTTTCTGTTTGCAGGATTGTGATCTGTGACGTATTTCAAATGACGGAGATGCAATTCCAGTAACTCAGGGATGTACTGACACACCAACTGTTCGTACTGTTCTCCTTCATTTTATTACCAGAATTCTTGAATTTAATTATAGCTTCCCAGCTTGTTGTTCCCTGCTGTTTGTTCTTTGTGCAAACTGTATATGTCATCATGGTCTAAGCTATTTTTGGCACAGCATTAATCTTTCTGTACAGTGACCCTGCCCTGTTCTGTTTCCTCTCTGAAAGCTGATGAGGAGCTTGTTGGCTTTGTGCTCTGAAGCGCTGACTCCAGCTCTCTGAACACGAGTGTGAGGGTTACACGGGGATTTCTGGCGACCTGCTGGGCCTCAGTTATTTTGTTTATGGTAGAGAGGCTGAAAATCTCCAGGCAGTGTAATTGGTCTGACAGCCACTTCCACAGTGTCTGCATATCACAAAGAAAAGTGCTGTCAAGCAGCACTGCCACGATGGATATTAATGACAAAGTTTGGATGAATGGGGCTTTGGATATGTGTAGTCTGATGACTAAGGAGAGGCTGTGGTGCATATGCATTTGTAATGCCTTTGCATTGACTGTGGTGGAGTGCTCTTTTGGCAACGTATCAGCAGTGAAGCAATATCTGTGTTGTAGTGAGGTAAGCAACGTTTCTCGGTCTAGCACGAGATGCTGAAATAAATTGGTTCTCAGCTTGCTGCTGCTTGTTGTGTTGCATCCAATTTTCTGCTTTGTGCTTTCTCATTTCACATTTGTAATTGTTCATTCTGCACCTGGAAAAATCTTGCCTCCATTAATGAGGGTTGTTCCAATGTAGATAACAGGATGTTCTGCCAGAATTTGCATTCTCTACTTTCATAGTTCTTAACGAATTCTTTTAATCATGTTAATGACAAATGTCTAATCATTAAACACTTTGATATTACAATGTCAAATAGCAGAAGAAGAGTCAAGATAGGTGCGATTATTAAGTTGCTGTAGTTGTACTGGCTCTAGGACATATGGAAAGTGTCATTTCTTAAACTGATCGTTTTAGCTGGAAAAAGTTCAAGAGGTAAAAAGCACTCTTCAGGCTTTGAAAAGATCCATGGATTGATTACTGGTCACGGAGATGGCGATCAAGGAAGGTATGTAGATGCCGATGGCTGACCTGGAGTGTGGATACAACATAGCAGATAGGAAATGAAAACAAATCCATCTCCATCTCAAGAGAGCTTAGGTTTGATAACTCCTTTGAAACTCACAGCTCTCCTCTGCAGACATTGATTAAACAAAGTCCCCAGCAGTGGTTCAGTACAGTTTAACGGAATTTGTAAGAGAACAATTGAGATCATCTTATTTTGCAATCCCACCATCTTGTGGCAGTCTGTGGCATTGCCTTAGCATTTGGTCTAAGGAGCACATTAATTTAAAAGATAGCAAGTGTGTCCCCGTCTACTAACGGTTACCTCAGCTCAGAAAACACCTTTCTGTGGACTCAGATATGTATTTCAGGACCTTACTTTGAGTATGTGAGTCTTTCTATATTTTTCTTGCTCCTTGGCACCCTGTCTTTCATTTCTCTCCCTGTTCCTCTTCAGCAGAACCAAAGCTTTTAACGCATAACGGACCTGACCCTTCAGGATGTTACTGTATACGTGCTTAATATTGAAAGAAGAAAAATCATAAATTGCCTCAGAGTTGGGGGTTTAGGGATTTATTTTTCCTTCTTCAACCTTTTTCCCATCTGCTGTGACCTTCAGGAGCAAGTATTTTCCTGCACACAAAGGGAACAGTGTATGTGTATGGATAAATTGTACACAGTTTTACGCAAGTAGTCCCCTGGAAACATGTGGGTCAGCAAGGCCTGAGGAGTTTCCTTTTTTAGTAAAAATAATAATGCAAATCTTGAGACTATATAAACGTAGAGCAATCGGAGTTCAATTCTCTGCTTATTCAGTGCATGCTCCCTCTCATGCTGCAGTGTCGGGCTGTATTAGAGCTGCCAGCTCTAATGGAGTGAGTACCCAAGAAATCAGGATCTGTGCAGTGAGACCTCAGGTGGTTGCGCAATTGGTAAGAGGTTCTGTTGGCCAACATATCAAGAAGGGCTTTAATTCACATCTGGATAGAGGATAGGTAGAAAGCAAAGGATAAGGGCTGAACCTGAGCTAGCATTCAGAATTTCATAATATGGTGCAACTATCTCAAGTTTCATGTATAATCCTTTTTCACATGTATCCAAGAGGGGTAGAAACACAGGACACTCCTATTTTTAGTCCACACATGGTTAGGCTTGCAGCATGGGGTTGCAACCCAGGGATTAGAATTTGCACCTTCTTTAAAAATGCAGTTTTGAGTTAATGCTTTATTTATAAAGTTTCTCTAGAAAGCCCTTTCATACACGTTTTGGAATTTTTGTTGGCATATTTTTCATGGTTGAAATAACAGTGTTTTCTGGGAATTTGTTTCAGGGAGGGTGGTGGTGGTTAACATTTAAATATATACCGTGCTTATCGCCGCTCTTCTTCTGTTCTGACTTAGATTGCACATACCTGACCATGTTAATCTAAGGTTGTTCCCATCATTCTTGTTAAGATTTAACTTAGTTAAAACTGTTCTTGTTTTAACAGAGATCGTTCACTAATAATGATTAACATACTTCTAGCAAAGCTTAAGTACATCAAATACCAGTGGTTACCTCCAAGAGACTGCAAATTCAAAACTGTTTTTAAGCATTAAGTCTTAGAAAAAGAGAAAACATGCTGATGCACACTGCAGAAATGTCTTTGCATTACTATGTTACTTTTTTCTTCTGAAGTTAGCATCATCTAGAGTCTGTTTTTCAGACTTCTCAGAAGTCAAAGGGAAGGCTATCAGCTCGCAATACAATTCCTTATATGAATCAGGGAAAGCATGTGGAACATTCCAGTAAGGAAGGATTTTAAGAAGTCTCGAGCAGCTAAATCCAGAGGATTCAGAAGTAATACAGGCTTTCTTTATGCATTATTTTGTTTTTAGCTATTATTTTCATAGAAACACTCTTAAGTTTCTGTAACATAACTTTACACACTATGGAAAGTCTTAAGAAAGTTTTTTGCACGTATAACTTGTGATATTTTTCTTTGTCCCCATTTTTTGCTTTTAATATGCCTGATAATCAACTTGGGATTGCCACTGCAGATGCAGCAAAGAAAATATCTAAGTTTCCATAAATGGAACTACAAGAAAGCATTTGTTATAGTTTGACCCTTTGCCCTAAAATACTGCCTGCTGCTCTAAGTACTCAAACATTTCCTAAATTTGAGTGACTTACAGTGTTTTGCCTTATCCAGTACAAGATGGAGCTGAAATTCATTTCCTGGGATTGACAGTTATGTTTAATAAAGTTTTCTGTTTAAAAGTGTAGCTGAAAGGCAGAGTAGTATCAGAACCATAGAATCACAGAATATCCGAAGTTGGAAGGAGCTCATGAGGATCATCAAGTTCAACTCCTAGTCATTTTGCAAGACCCCATAAGAAAAAGATGAATGTCAGGTTTGGATTGAAGACATGAAATATATGATCTCCATGCTTACTTAATGCTTATATCAAAATAAATTATACAAGCGGGTACGTTTTGGGAGCGACAGCATATCTGAGAGGAGAATAATTTAATACAATGTGTCAATACGATGTTAGGTTGCTGGCTTGGGTCCAGACGAAATGCACCACGTAGCTAAGAGATTTTGGATCTTTTCAGTACCTATGTCTACAAATTGGGTCCTGTTTCTAATTATTTATAATAATGCACCAACACGGTTGACAAATTTACATTCGCAGGTATTCTTACAAGTTGCTTACAGAACAACAAAACTAAAAGCAGATTACAGAGATGATCTATAAATATACATAGCGCTGATAGTAAAATCTAGAATGACAATCAAGAAGCTAAGCAGAGGTTTTTAGCCTGTTAACTGCATAGTATCTTCCTAGTTTGCAGTAATGCCCTATTGTATTCCAACCCAACAGCAATACAGATGTGCACACGGTGGCATCACTGCTGAAGCTGTACCTAAGGGAACTCCCAGAGCCAGTCATACCGTACGCAAAATATGAAGATTTTCTTTCCTGTGCCAAAATGCTCAGCAAGGAAGAAGAAATGGTGAGTCTGCATGTTGCGTACGATGAATAAAAAGATTGGTATGTTATAACCTGTTCCAGTTTTGAGGAATGGAGATGCAAGTAATTACATATCCTAATTTAAGTCTTGTTTGTATTAACTGAGGCTCTCTTTAAAGGAAAATAGTTGCTACCTATGTCAGGCTCAGCATAACCTTTGCTGCATTTATTGTATATCATCAAATTCAGTCCAAATGAATATCTCTGTGGCCAGTAGCTTCCATTTTGCCTAGGAAACATTTTATCTTTTCACGGATCATCATCCAGAGCTGAAATATAGATGGTTTTAGTAGTTTCTACCCAATTTGTGCTGTTAAATCAGATTATTTTCTTCTAAGTGTTCTAGGATGCCACATTTCACTGACTTTAGACTGAAGACCACAGAGCTCTATTCATTGCCTATCACTGAATCAGAAGCATCAGAAAGAAGTCTGGAAGTGGGCAACTATTCAAAACTTTTTAAAATTTGCATAATATAGATGAACTTAGTATGGGTTCTGAGGTACAGTAAGTGCCCTGCAATGGCAGAGGAATACTCTTGTATTAGTCTGAAGAAGTAATAAATGAAGCTTGATTTTTACACTGTTATGTGTGCTTATGGGTAATCAAGTCAACACAGTGTTTTCCAAATAAAAATAAAGAAGCTCATTCTTTTGATTGCAGTCTATTCTTCTAAATTTCTAAGGTTATTATAACTGTTTAATTCCGTTTTGACTTTTCAAATTCTGCTAGAACTGGACCCTTCTTCTCCTTAACCCTCCAGTTAACTGGGAGGAGAATGAGCCCCTCCTTTCCAACCGTCTCCAATTGCAGTTTCTTTGATGTGTTTATTGTCTTGAAACTGAAATTGTCAGCATTTTTCAGTGGCAAAATACTAAGAAACTCTGCCTCCCCACTTTGTTTATTAACCATGTATATAGGGCCTGATAGAATTAGTGAAGCAAGTGAAGAGCCTGCCAGCTGTCAATTATAATCTGCTGAAATACATCTGTAGGTAAGTGCCATTGCAAGAACATCACAGTGATATTTATAGCTGTTAGCTGACAGAGAAATTTGTTTGCATTTGGACTCTGAAGGAAAAGTATTACAGAACTGGAGGAGTGGTTAACTTCAGTGATTGCACTAAAAACCTGTCTACTGCACTCATTTCTCATTCGCTTTATCAAGATGCAGTTATGAGGTGACTTAATAAGCAAGCTGCCAAAAGTACAGAAGTGGGTATATAAGTCCTCTTCCTAGGACACAGTTTTCCTATTTATAATTGCAGTTATTGGCCTTAGCTGTGCAATCCTGAGGCATGGTAGCACTGTAAACTGCAGCATCTGGTAGAATAGTTTTGTAGAAATGAGCAAGATCTTAAAAACATGTCTTGAAAAGTAGCAAAGTGTGTAGCAAAGGATGTTCTCAGCATAGGAAACATTTGAAAATAAATTTAAACTTCTAGTTGAGAGTTTGCATTTTGAGGATATTTTATGAGCCAAATAACTGATTGCATATGTTAGAGAAAGTTATTGTCTTCAACAGGGTTATCTTAAAATTAGATCAGAGAGATATTTTTTTAACATTGTATCATTTTTAAGAAAATATGAATACACTGAGTATAACCTTGAGCTTCCAAGACATTCCTTCACAAGTTAGAGTGGAATACTCAGACTACGTTAAGAAGCCATTGTATGTTTTGATTATTTTTTTTCATTCCTTCCTTTTAAAATGTTTGTTAAAGGCATATTTCTTCCTCACAGATTCCTGGATGAAGTCCAGTCTTATTCAGGCATAAACAAAATGAGCGTGCAAAATCTGGCTACTGTTTTTGGCCCCAACATCCTCCGCCCTAAAGTGGAAGATCCTTTGACTATCATGGAAGGTGAGTTGACTGTAAATAACTTGAAAGAGAACGAAAGAATATCTTTAGGTTTATTAACAATTACTAATGCATGTGGTATATACACTACATTCTATGTCCATTTTAAAGACACAGAACTCTTCAGTGTGGATAGACAGCTGGGATAAATCTTCCAAGATACTATAAAAATGACTACGGTTTATAGCATTGCAAACAGACCTTGCATGAGATTGTGCTGCCTTGGCAGCTTAATTAAAAACTTTTTTTTCCCCTTCTATGCTTGCTCCAAATATGGCGTGTTCTTTCCCAGTACGTGTGGAATAAGTGCAGTTAACTACATCACCTGCAGTTCTTAAGGGTCAGCTATGTTTTCATAGATTCATATTGCAGTGGCCCATCATTCTCCATAAACTCACATGATGCCGTTTCTCTCTCCAAACACTTGTTTCCTAGTATGTTTGATTTAGTTAACCTACCCAGAAATAAGGGCTGTAAACAGTCCTTGCACTGTACATCGTATTAAAAACTTGTAGCTTGTTTATTTGGGATTGTGTGAATTTGTTTTCCTTTGAATATGATGTTTTTTCTTTTTTCCAGATAATTGTGATTCTCATAGACTTTGTTCATTTACTGTTTTATTCCCTTCTTCTAAAGCTTTATGTTTCATCCTCATCCTATTGTAAATGGACAGAAATGTAGTGTCTCCAAGTCACATAATGAAAGAATACAAAAATATTTCTAATTGTTCATTGGATTAAAAATACAGGGAAGTATCATAAAGATGACTTTCATCACTGGAGTCAATGAGAATCTCACTGAGGCTGAGACCCTCGATCTGTCATACCTGCCAGAATGGCATCTACTGCTGGGATACCGCGTATCTTCAGGCCACCTGGGAAAAAAGGAGGCAAATCAAGATTTGGGATGGGATGAGAGTAGTTAGCTAGTCAAAAAGGAGAAAAAGAAGTTATCCTCTAGGTCTGTGTTTTTTCACAGCTGGCTACTGCCAGTATTTTATGTGAAAGCTTAAATGAGAAAGATGTTTTAAGTGGGTGGAAATGGAAAATACTGATTTTTTTATTTTTTTTTTAATGTCTGAAAACATCTCCAGACAGCTTCTCAACAGCCCACAAGCTTAGTGGCTGCTTTAGGAGGTGGCATGGATACTATGCTCATTGAAGGGAAATAGTATATATATTTTTTCACTCAAGGAAACAGTTTTAACTAAACAGATTTATGACTTCTCATACTTCTCTTATAGAAGTAAACCTTTTAGAAGTAAACCTTTTAGATTTGACATGGACTGTGCTGATGTGCAGTTGGGCTGCTCATAGTTAAATACGTGGGATCTTTGTTAACAAAGACTACACATTGAATAGTGCCTCTGTCCAGCCTTCCTCACTGCTCTTTGCTTTTTGGAAGAGAAAGCTTGACAATGAAAAGTGCTCTTCTTGCATAGCCTTTTAAAGCCAAGCATGAAGCTATGTGCAGCCATATCTGTATAATGTGGATGAAAAGTTGTTTTGTCTAGTTCAAGTGAGATTTTCCTGACTTCCAATTACAGGCTAATTTGAATAATCTCTTAGTAGTTGTATTTTAAAAGGCTAGGTTATAAAAATCCAGAATATTTCAAAGGAGTTGATATGGCACAATGGGAAATTCTTGATTAAAAGGGCACAGCCTGCCTCTGAAAGCACTCTAGAAGTTTAAAGATAGGATGATTGTTATAAATACTCTGACCTTGTTCCTGAGAGATTCTTAACAGTACTTAGTGAGATTCAGTTTAAAGAAATAGTTGTATGTCTTCATTACCCTAAGTCCAGTTATAAATGATAGTGTGTAAATTGTGCAGTCGAGCGGTGTGCACACCAAGGGGTTATTAGAGAGGCAGCCATTTATTAGAAATACTCAGAAGTTGTGGTTCTGCATTAGTTCCATACTGTGCCATAACATGACACAGTTGCCTGTTTGCATGTAGTTTAACTACAGACAGGTTAAAAGCATTCACATGAAATAAATTCTGTCACATTATTACCCTGTTAGATTCCAAAGACTAAATTGTTGTTATTCCAACAGTGCAAATCCCTTGCCTGCCACTTTTCTTTTAAACTATTGCATGAAAGTGCTTTGCCAGAAGGGGTCTTTGGTTTTAAAAATGATTGCCACAATAACTTGAAGCACATTACTCACATTGCTTATAATGACATTATCATTTGCTGCTCATAAACTCCTTCTGTAGTATTTCGGGGATGCAAAAACTGTCATGGCAATAGCGTCTTTGCAAAAATTGCTGTTATTATGGGGTCTGTGAGGAATGCTGTCTTGTTCTGATGGAAAGAAGAGGTGGTGCTGATCTGTCCTGGTACACAAATACATTTTGTACACCTTAAACATCCAGGGTGTTAAACTGGTGGTCATTTTGGGTAAAAAAAACTGTGGTTATTTTGGGTAAATGTTTCTATAAATAGGATTTTTGCTAAGAATTTGTGGAATCTGAGCCATTAAGTTTATTTATGCCCCAAACAGATCATTAATTACCATGTGCTTGCTTGGTACCTTCTTTCAGGTACGGTAATAGTCCAGCAGTTAATGTCAGTGATGATAAGCAAACACGAAGAGCTGTTTCCCAAGGATGCAGACCCTGATGTGGGACCCGAAGTGTGCAACAATAACAATGAAGTGCCAAAGAAGGCAATCGTTGGACAACTACAAAACAAAGAGAACAACAACACAAAGGAGACAGCAGTGAGGCGCTGCTCTTGGGATAAACCTGAGTCTCCCCAAAGGGGAAGCATGGACAATGAGTCTCCAACTGCGCTGCCAGGCAGCAAGACCAATAGCCCTAGAAACAGCATCCAGAAATTAGATGTCACCAGAAGCCCACCACTCACGGTGAAAAAAAATCCTGCTTTTAATAAAGGCAGTGGCATAGTCACCAACGGGTCGTTCAGCAGCTCTGTGGAGAGCCATGAGAAGAGCCAGACCTTACCAAACTGTACCCTGCAAGCCAGGAGGACATCCTCCCTGAAAGGACCGGTGACTAAGATGGGCACACAAAGCATGCAGAATGGAGGCGTGAGGATGGGAGTTTCTAGCACTGATGGGCTCACCAACACCCTCAACAACCGAAGCCCAGGCTGGGCACCCAATGGCTGTGTCACACTGAGGGACAACAAGCAGAAGGAATCAGTGAGTGAGTCGGGTCAGCACAACAGGCTCTCCACCTATGACAATGTCCACCAGCAGTTCTCCACAGTGAACTCTGATGACAAACAGAGTGTGGACAGTGCTACCTGGTCAACATCCTCCTGTGAAATATCCCTCCCTGAGCACTCTAACTCCTGTCGTTCATCCACCACCACCTGCCCAGAGCAGGACTTCTTTGCGGGTAACTTTGAAGACTCTGTGCTGGATGGACCACCACAGGAAGACCTCTCTAACACTGGTGACTATGAGAACAGAAGTGACCGAAGGAGTGTGGGGGGCCATAGCAGCAGAGCCACCAGCAGCAGTGATAACAGTGAAACGTTCGTTGCCAACAGTACTAACAATCATAGCGCTCTGCACAGCCTGGTGTCCAGCTTGAAGCAAGAGATGGCCAAACAAAAACTTGAGTATGAGACAAGGATAAAAAGGTAAGATGGAGCAGTGTTACCATCTCATTTCTTTCAGAGTTGACATGTGAAACTGTTCTTCTAGTATCACGATTCAACTGGGTTTGTTGCAAAGCAATCCTCTGCCACAGTTGTGACGTACTGTCCTAATGGCACCATAAATAAATCCAGAACCTTACAAGTTTCTCTGGAATCTAACTAACGAAATCAGTAGCTTCCATAGTGATTTCATTAGTTGATGCCTGCTCTCTGGAGGCTGAGACTTTCAATGAAATCAGTGTCTTAGATCACTCCAGCTGTAGTTTTGGGACTGTCAGACTATTCTTGTAAATAGATTTAAATCAGCTGATAAAAATCAGGGATTCAGAGCATTATTTTGACCGCTTAAATGACACAATTACAACTACAGTGGGAGCTGGGAACCAGTACTTGCAGGAGTAAAAGACTTCCCTAGGTTGCTTGCTAGAGAATGGAGTGGAGCTGGTTGCCCCTGTGCGCAGTAACCAGTGGCTGGTATCGTGCATTTTCTAAATGAGCTACAGAGTAGAGAAGGCCATTTGGGAATGGATTGCTGATGAAACTGTGCTTTGTAGGTAAACTTCTAAGAAATTCAATCTAAGCTTTGTAAATGAAAATGCAATTGCATGAAATTGTGATGGTGTGCATTTCTACACAACTGAATGGGAGGAGTGCTGTTCAGGAGCTGTCTGCTTTTATTTTGGTTTCTGCAGCTTGGAACAGAGAAATCTCACCCTGGAGACGGAAATGATAGCCCTGCATGAAGAGCTGGATCAAGAGCGGAAGAAGTTCACAATGGTGGAAATCAAAATGCGTAATGCAGAACGGGCCAAAGAGGATGCAGAGAAGAGGAACGACATGCTGCAGAAGGAAATGGAGCAGTTTTTCTCTACTTTTGGAGAACTGACAGTGGAGCCTCGCAGACCAGAAAGGGGCAACACCATCTGGATCCAGTGAGCGTTGGAGGCTTTGACTGTGGGATGCTGGGAAAGGGCTTAGGGGTATTATACTGCGTCAGGTGGCTGGTCACCTGTCTGTCTGAGGCTAGCACTCAACATAATGTTATAGACTCTTGAAGGAAGAAATCGTACATGTTAACCACTCATATCTACAGTGTGTACTTATCAAGTCATACTCTTTGGATGCTTCATGAGACTACTGTCAAGTGTCACAACTGGATATGTGTATATAAATTTAAAAAAAAAAGCATCTTAGAGAGTGAGAGATGTATCTCAAGAAATATTTTAATTCAAGTCTTGTATTTAAACTGGTAAATTGAAATGTTGTTGCAATCAAGCTTTATATCAAGGCTTTTCTCCCTTGCACTTAACATAAGCTATTTTTGACATTGTGTTACCATCAGCTTATTTTGTATATCAAATGTTTTTGTTTTGTTTTGTTCCTCCCTCTTGTTGGGGAGTGAAGATAAACAGATACATAAAGGTACATGTGCCAATGGTTAGCACTAGTCTGTGTCGCTTTTGAAAAAGAGAGCTGGATAAGAAGGAGCAGCATGCTGGGGATGGCAAATGGGGCACTAATTTAAGAGAACTGATGACCTGACTAAAGTTACCAGAGCTCTCGTATCAAATACCCTATAAGGATATCACCAACATTGAGCAGTCAGTATTCAAAGAACAGAGAGGTTTGAGAGGAAATGTAGTGGTAATGAGTAAGAAGGTGGGAGAAGGGGCAACTCAAAGAGAAGTTGATCTATAGAGCCAGAGCTTTTTGGGGTAATCTAGCACATCCCTGTGGTCACTGCAGCTCAGAACAGGGATATAAACCGTGCTTTGACCACTGTTGTGACTGAATTACCCCAGTACTGCAGGAGTATGGAATCCTTTCTGTAAGACTGGCAAAGGGACGCACAGAGAGACACACTGTACATCTTGAATGCCTTAGCAATGTGATGGATGCTGAACAAAAAACAAAACAGAGACCTGCAGAACTGATGAGCAGAGGAGAAATTAGCAAGGCAGCTGTATTACAAACTGCAAATAAGGAAGAACACATTAACCACCTATATTTACAGTGCATATTGACCAGCTAAGCTTTCTGAGTTGAGACTTCTGTGAAGTGTTAAGCTGTGGAAACTCTCAGGATCATAACGTAATCAAGGGAACAGCCAGAAGAACTGCCTGCAGAGTGCCAACAAAAAGTAGCCAAGCTGTGCAGTGAAAGGCCAGCCTATTGGGAAATGTATGCATAGTAGGTGTAACTGATGTTTCCTATACCATCCACAAGACCTTTCCTGTTTTTATCTTTGTCTTTAAGAGTGTGAGTTGTATCTTCAGAAGGTGTTAAGACATCTTGGCTTCCCTCTACTGTCACTCAAATGTATTGCAATTATCGCTGACCCCCAGTTGAGATCTAAGAATGTAGCCTCAAAGAGGTGCTCTCTGTAGCATGTACATTAGATAAATACTAATTAGATGTGGTAAGTATACGGGGCAATAAATATGAGGCTTACATTTCAGGAAAATAACAGCTTAGAGTGGAGCATTACACGTGGTGTTCGTGGAACAATTATTTGTGTTATCTTGGGTTCAGAGGCCCAAGTTAGGACGGTAATTACTGTAAACATGTCTAGTGCACATCCAGTTTGGATGCAAATGAGAAAAAGACAGAAATCAAGATAATAGGAAGGAGAATGTTTTGTGTTGGCTAGCCACAATCACAAATGCTGGAGCAAATGGTGAGAGAAGGAAACTGTTTACTGTGTTAATTCTGATTTTTAAACTGAATGACAAAGATCGTGGTATCTGATGTGGGCCTCACAGTCAGCTGAGGCTCCTGTTTAGCTCTGCTCATTTTGATGATGGTTCCTGGATAAATTTGAAACCTTTCTTACTGCTGCTGTGATCTACTCCTGTACTTTACTTCTTAGTATTCCTATCAATCAACTCATGGCATGGTGATCTGTTTCTTGGAGCTGAACCTGCACAGAGTTTTTCTTTGGGTTAAGCTGTCTTGTGGTTGAGGACCTTGTATTGGTTCAATAAAATGTCAGACAAGTTCACTGCAGCTATACCATTTAAAATCAACTCAAACTGTGTTGAACCATATTCTTCCAAGCATCTTTGAATGATTTTTGGAAACTTGTGTTAGGCAGAATCTGTTAATGTCCAGATTTAAAGCTTGTCTTTACCTTTGGAAAGATATTCCAGTAACTGTTGTTCAGTTCCTCAAGGAATTTTCTGTTTCCAGTTATGTGGCTTAGTGCTGGTATCTTTCGTTTCTTGCAATGCAGTCCAGGACAACAAAGCTTCACCTCATTCTCTGCACAGAAATTATTTAGGCAGACCAGAAAAATTAAGCAGGCACAGTGAACGTGGAAAATATTGCCATAACATGTCCACTGCCATCGTGATCAATTCACAGCATCACATCTTTCTCCTTTGTGTCAAGCTTTGTTAGCATTTTGGCTGTGGTGATGAAGTTGATTTGCATCCTTAACAGTCATCACGATGCTCCTATTATCGTCCTGCTTCTTCAGATTAAAAGCACACATTTCAGAACTGTTTCTTACATTGAGAAGCAAGTAACAAAGTACTTCCAGCATTTGACATGAGTTGACATGGTTGGCAGAAGCAGTGCTGGGAGAGCATGATAATGGATATAGGTGGCAAAGGACAAAACCTGCTCCTTTTCATGCAGTGGAGTAGAGAGGGGCAAGGCATTCAGAGGACTGAGGTCAAAGCTATTTGAGCACAAAGGCTCTAAAAACAACCACGGTAATTTCATGCAGAGTACTTGTTGACTGGTGGTTATCATGTGGAAGCAATTCTTCCAGGAAAGTTGGTATCGAGGTACTTGAGTGAAACTGAGGCTTCAGTCAATAATCCATTTTGTCATTTGTCTGTAACAAAGTAAGTCATGTTCTAAGGCCAAGCTGACAGTGTTACCTGACATGAGAGCACACGCAGAGATTTTCAGCTATCAGTTGTGAGATGGTATAATGGTCATTTGCTCTCACCTCTCTCTTGCTGTATTTCTGTGCACTTTCCATATTAATAATGTTTGTGGGAGTTCAGCATTCAGCTCCAAGCTGGGAGGACAGCAAGCAGTTCAGCCCGTCCAGCCCAGTGCTACTCTTGGTCTCTCCTTCACTGTGCAATAGGCAATGCTTTTACAGTTCATCAGCACAGACTGCAGAAAAAAATTCCTCCTAGGAACTAATGACCACCTGCTCCAATCACAGGGGATGACTGCATAAAATTACATTCATTAGTGTAAGTTCAGAGCAGTACAGACATAAAAGCAGGCTACCAGGATGCTTCAATCAATGCGCATAGTAAGCGACAGAACTAGGTTGGTGCTGTAATCTCATCTCCAGCCCCCACCAGAAAACAGCAGTGGGTGATGTTGCCCTACACAAGTTTGCTGAATTAACCAGATTGGTGGCAGATGCTGACAGTGCCTTGTAAATGCTGGATTCTCTTGTGCTCAGAATGGCTTCTGTCTTCCTTTCTGTTTGTAAGAATCCCTATTTGAAGTGTGCTCTGGCATAACAGGATAATTAAGCTTAATTTTATTCTTGGCTAAATGTTTTTTTCAATGTCTCACAGAGAGTTTTTTGCAAATATTAAAATTAGTACATAAAAGATTATTCTGTTAAATGATATGCAAAGCAGGTATTTTAGGTTTGAATGTGGAGGAGAGGAACTTCATGAGATTACTGCTGAAAGATCTGTGAGCAGCATTTTATGCAGTAGCGAGAGTGTACAGTAGCTGAGAAAGATCCAACTTGCTAGAAAGAATGAATATTTTCTGGGCTGTGTAAATGTGGGGGGAAGGTGGGAGAAAAGATAAGAGCACGGGTACTTCTGATGTGGACATGCAAAACTGTAGTACACAGGAGAGAGGAGGAGAACAAGGGAGCAAATAGACATGAAATTGCTGTGTGTAGGCGATAGACATGTGCCCTTGGTTAATAGCATTTCTTCTGAAAGATCGTCTCTACAGAAAGGTTACCAAAGTTAATGTTGCACTGTTTTTTCTGAGATTTTTTTGGCTCTAAATGGCTTTCTGTGCAGACACCATTAGCCAGACTGTTTCACGGGCTGCCTTCCTGGCTGCTGGCAGCCCCCCATGCTAATGTTGAGGATTGATGAGGAGAAATATGTGGCAGAGCAGCTGCCTGCAAAGCAGGGAGCCTCAGGAGGTCAGAGCAGCACAGCTCTGGGGGCTGCTAATGGCCCCCAGACCATCATTCTGCGTCTCCAGACCAGCAATTCTCAGCAAATAAAATTATATGCAGCAGATGCCCTGTTGATATCAACTGCCACGATTCTACAGAGTGTCTACACTTGGGAAGTGATAACAGTAGCAAAGGTCATGTTCCTGCTTGGCTTTTAGGTGCTGTTATAATGCATGTATTCACTGTTAGTGATGGTAGCTCTGCTGCCAAAATGCTTGTCAGCAACAAAACAAGTGGCATGTCAATAATAGTAGAGCAGAGAAAATTTGAAGCCAGAGAAATGAGTGTGATGCAAATCTGCTCCCCCCCACCTTTTTTTTTCTCCAAGAAATGCAGGATAATGAGTTTTGCACACAATACAACTTCATTTATGAATCTCCTGAATGTGAGAATGGAAAATCTCTCTGCTTCTGTATTCTTCTCTTCATGCTAAAGAGGTTTAAAATGATTTATATTCAGCAGGACTTTACTGGATTTGAATCTGTGATGTTAGAATACTATTATGAGCGTGGCTACAATTCCTAACTGTAAGGCAAGTGGGAAGGGACTTGGATTGAGACCAAATGGGTATCTCTGAGCAGCAGTATTTCCTGTTGTTCAGATATGGATGGCACTCTTTGTTTTCTGGTCATAGCAGTTAACTGTAACAATTAGATAAATTTATGGCTTTATTTTTTGTGTTCCCCTCTTTTTTTAGGGTCAGATTGCTGAATCATAATCTACAGTTCAGTAGAAATAATGGCTACAGTTGTTCAAAGCAGTGTTTGCAAATAAGTTTTGCATACTTCATAGCAGAAAGTGCTCTCTCTCATCACTGCTAAGATTGTTTCTATTATTATTATATCAGATACATCAGTGGATGGTAGTTTTAACAGCACCTTTATATTGGGCTGAACTACAGCACTTGGGTTTTGGCAGAACGGGATGATTGTTGGAGTGAGACTCAAAGATCCTTATGGTTCCCTTCCAACTCATTATATTATGTGATTGTATGATGTGGTGCTACCTCTTCCTGTAGCCACTTTTAACCCAGACTCAGCACCGTGGTGAGGTTTTACTTAATTCATTCTGGCAAATGTGCATTTTGTGTTATATCCAGAGCTCACTTGGGAAGGTGTGTGAAACAGCTTCAGATTCATACCTGTCTGGTTCCATAATGGTTTCCATGTGTAGGCATGCCCTAATAGTGCATGTGGGTAATGAAGGAGGTATTTGTATAATTTAGTATTAATAGTGAATATATCGCAGTTGACTTAATTGGTATTTGTCTGGCTGGCTGAAGGGACTTGCATCAAAGGAAGCTGTAATGGAAAGTGAGCAGAGTATGAACCATGACAAAAACGAAGCATCTCTGGAGGCAATTCCACAGGCCCTTAGGAGAACAGTTCATGAACTATTCATTCATCTGTTCCTGTGCTTCCAGCCAGACCTGTTTTTCCCGGAGCCAATACTCGAGATCAAAAGCACGCTCAGCTATTATAAACCTTGCCTGATGAGGGATGAGGTGGAGTGCTGCTATGGGACTGAGGCAGGGGACCAACTGAGTAAAGATGGACAGCTGCCTATACAGGGAGCCAGCAGGAGTCTGCTGCAGCAGAGCCTAATGTTTTGGTGCAGACTGCCAGCTCACACACCATCCACTCAGACAAGACAGAAGCTAGTGTTTAAGGTGGGACTGCCCTTCTCACGTAGCTGAGGGGTGTCACTGATTAGCTGTGGGAGCCAGAATCTGAGGCTAGCTGGTCAGGCTGGGAGGCCTAAATATTGTTCAGGGAACATGTACTGGTCATAACACTGTTCCCTGCACAGCACAACCATGCATATCATTCTTCTGGAAACTCAACAGACAAACCAAGAGCTGTGGTTGCCCATGCTGGCTGCATTCCTCCTGTTCTCTGTGCCAACACACACATAACTGCGATCAGCTGTGGGGATGCCTCGCTCCTGGAGCTGTGCCCTACTCCTGAGCCAGGACGGTTTACTACCTGGAGGATCACTTTCAGGTTTGGTTTAAGGTGCTGCTGAGTTTAAACCAGCGTTCTGCAGGTAAAAGTGGTGACAGCACGTGCTGTGGATTCCCAATGTGACGGCTTTTTGTTTCCTGACAAATAGGTTATGCACAATTTTTAAGACAATTTAAATTATTTGTGTTTTACTTCTGTGTTGAGTTTTACTGTTTAGGCAAAGGGGGAAAAGAAAAATGAAAACTCAGCTGTGGTATCTTTGCATGGGTCTAGATACGCTCTCTGTTTTGTGCAAACTTCAATTCCAGTGCACTGTAATAGAACCATAATGACATGTTGAAACATGCCTTGGGTAAGTCATGCTTCTCAGTATGCTGGTCCTGGTTTTTAATACTTTAATTAATCTAGATGTTACTGTGATGAGCCAAATACACTGCAACTCACAAATGCAATAAAAAGTCACAGGTTGGAAGGAAATTAATGCCCGTGTTGGTGAATAGACATAAAAATAATAGTTGCAAATACTGATTTCCCCCTTAGGAATTAAAAAAAAAAAAAAAAAAAAAAAAAAAAGGAAAATAATGGGTTGTGACCACTAGGTGCAAATTCTGCATTGATTTTGAAATAAGTTCTTCAGAAGAGGGATACAGAGTAAGTAGGTGTGCATTGAGCACTGAAGAACGCATCAGCAGAATGACTTTGATTTGGGCTGGGAAGATGGAGTCAAACCAAGAGAAGGTTTTGGTTGAGCAGTAAAATTCTGCTAGTAAAATACAGTGAGGTTTGGAAATGAAGAGATACAAGGTCGAATGGAAGCACAGGTTTCCCTAATTTACACAGGGCCTGACTCAATTCTCTAAGGTTTTATTTAGAGTCCAGG